GGGATGGACTCTGTGGGGGATGGACTCTGTGTGGGGGATGGACTCTGTGGGGGATGGGCTCTTTTTGGGGCATGGACTCTGTGGGGGATGGGCTCTGTGTGGGGGATTGTCTCTGTGTGGGGGATGGACTCTGTGTGGGGGAATAATGTTTGAATCTGTTTATTTGGATCTGCTTATCGTTACACAGGGGTGAGTCTGGAGCTGGGAAAACAGTGAACACCAAGAAAGTGATTCAATACTTTGCGATAATTGCTGGTCAAGGAGAGCCTGCGATGAAGAAGATGGTAAGAATGCAGGCCAGCCCTGTCCATGACCCTGATACAAAAACACTGGGGAATGGCACTACAAAGATCAACCAGGATAGCAGTTGTCTGGAAAGTTGTCCTCTGTCGGGAACAGAGATGGGTGAGGGGTCACCTGACCTCCTTGAGATTGTGAAAGTATTCACTTGAAGGAAGATACTAGAAAACAATAAGGCCTGGAAATGGCTGGCACTGATCTAAATTTATCATGTATCCCTTAATGTGTGAATCCTGTTCGGGAACAATGCGTTGTTGCCATGTTTAATGTTTCTATGTGGATGTGGGGATCTGAAACTTACAGCTTGTGGATCAGACTGAACAGATATACCTCCCTCACAATCAACCGTTCAGAAAAACCATCTTAGTTCCTCCCTGCCTCGACTCCGACCATCCCCTTTCCCAGCATCATCACTGGATTTCCAGCTACCAACAGATCCTCCAAACTCTCCCCCTCCCACTCATACACTCGATGGGCAAGAACTATTCCAGGATACCTGACCTTTGCTCGTGGAGATTGGGAGAAGTTTTGGTAGAGGTGTTCAAAACCATGAGTGTTCTGGAAGTAATTTCATCTCTGTGAATCTATGAGTAGACAGGGAGAACCTATCCTCATTGACACACGTCAAGGACGAAAGGTGTCAGGTGATTGGCACAAGCCAACATGAGGAAAAACTTACTGAATGGCCAGGATCCAGAATGTGCTGCCTGTGGCTTTCAGAAGGGAAACATGTCATTATCTGAAGAGAAAAGACATGTAGGAGTGGGACGTGGCACTGGATACAGTGCATGAGACATTGCAAAGAGCCAGCACAGACAAGACTGGGCCAAATGGCCTCTTTCTGTGCTGTTGAGATGCTATGACAACATAGATTTAAGTGTAAATGTTGATTGAATCAAAGATATGGTAAATTGTGCCAGGCGAGCTATAGAGAAGGCCCATATCGTTTTACATTTTGCAATCTCATTATTTACCACTTGTGAATCACACAGGGCTCCCTTGAAGATCAGATCATTGAGGCTAATCCAGCCATGGAAGCGTTTGGAAATGCTAAGACTGTTCGGAATGACAACTCTTCTAGATTTGTGAGTGGAAACATTCTCCATTTGATGTTTCTCTCTCCTAACTGTAAGCTTACCAAAACATGTGTGTTTCTGCCTGAGGTTTTAGCATGTGGCCAAATTGCAGACATGGTTCCTCTGCTCTCCAGCTGAGTTTGAAACAGTCATTCCATACCCGCACCACCCTCTGCAGTGCTCTGGGCCCTGACCCAAGCAAAGATGTACTAGCATTGGAGGCAATCCAGGGAAAGTTCACTAGGCTGATACCAGGTATGAAGCAACTATATTATGAGGAGAGGTTGAGTAGATTGGGCCTGTGCACATTGCAGTTTAGAAGAATGAGAGAAGATGCATTTTGGAAGGTCAAGTGCAGGTGGAAATTATACAGTGAATGGTGGAGCCCTTAGGAGTATTGATATGCAGAGGGATCTGGGTGTGCAAGTCCACAGATCACTGAAGGCAGTAGTGCAGATAGATAAGGTAGTAAAAGAGACTAATGGCATGCTTGCCTTCATTGGAAGGGGCATTGAGTATAAGGATAGAAACATTATGCTTCAGCTTTACAGAACTTTAGTTAGGCCATTGGAATATTGCGTACAGTTCTGGTCACCACACTACCAGAAGGATGTGGATGCTTTTGGGGAGGGTATAGAAAATGATGCCTGGTATGGGGGATTTTAGCTATGAAGAATGGTTGGACAGACTGGGTTTGTTTTCACTGAAATGCAGGAGGTTGAGGGGCAACCTGATAGAAGTTTAAGATTCTGAATGGCATGGACAGAGTGGAAAGTATGAAACTTTTCCCAGGGGGTAGGGTCAATTACTAAGGGACACATGTTCAAGGTGCGAGGGGACATGTTTAACAGAGATGTGCGAGGCAAGGTTTTCACACAAAGGGTGGTGAGTGTCTGGAACACGCTGCCAGAGGAGGTGGTGGAAGCAGACACAATAGCATCATACAAGAAGCACCTGGATGAATACATGAATAGGAAGGAAATAGAGGGACACAGATCCTGTAAGTGAAGACAGTTTTAGTGTGGAAGGGCAAAATGTGTCGGTGCAGGCTTGGAGGGGCCGAAGGACCTGTTCCTGTGCTGTGTTGTTCTTTGTTTGCTGTTCTCCTTGTTCTTTGTATTCTATGGGTTCTGGATAGAAAGTGTGTGAGTGGAAAGGTTGCTTCTCTCTTGTGGGAGACCCTGGGACCAGGGGACATTATCTCTGATTTAGACCAATCAGAGGAGGAATTTCTTCTCTCGGTAGTGAATCTATGGAATTATTTAGCATAGAGGGATATTGAGGCTGTGTCATGAAGAATGTTCGAATCTGAGATAAACAGATATTTAATCAGTGAGGGAATCAAGTGTTATGAGGGAAAGGTAGGAAAGTGGAATTGAGGATTATCAGATCTTCCACGATCACATTGAATGACAGAGCAGACTCGATGGGCTCAATGGCCTACTTCTGCTCCCACATTGTGTAATCTCAAAAGTTCTTCTATGAGATGGCAACGCTGACAAGGCCAGCATTTGTATGCTATTCCCCAAATGCGCCTGAAATGAGTGAGTTTCTGAGCCATTTCAGAGCGCAGTTACGAGTCAGCCACATTGCTGTGGGTCTGCAGTCAGGTGAGAACAAGTGAAGGACAGCAGATCTCCCTCGCTTTTCATCCACCATGAGGAATTCTACACGACAATCTGTAATAGGAGTCATGGAGGCCATTAATGAGGCTAGCTTTATGTTCCAAATTTAAGGACTAAATTTAAATCCCCTTGGTGGTGGGATTTGAGCAGACTAGCTGCCTGGGCCTGTGGGTAAGTAATCAAATGTTCTGGAGAAGAGTCTAGGCCCGAAACGTCAGCCTTCCTGCTCCTCTGATGCT